TTTTCTGTAAATCGAATATAACATATATATATATATATATATATATATATTATAAACATTTCAGCTGATAGTGTTTATTTTATTGATATAATTAAGTAAACATTAAGCTTAATTAAAATATAATTTTTATATACAATTTTGACTGTTTTTATTTTGATTAATATGTTTTAACAGTGGACTAGGATCTTCAAATACCAGTAACTTTTGTATTTATGTATTTTATACATAACTATATGAAATATAAAGTAATTCATGATAAATATTTTGTTTTGAATATAATTCTAAAATTATCCAAAAGAAAACTTAATTATTTTAAAATTAAATATTTGCATTAAAATAATTTTATACCATACATTAAGTTTTTTTAAAAAAAATTGGAAATATGTAATTTCGTATAGTTGTTATATACAGTCAACTCCCCATAACACTGTTGATTATTCCATTTTATTTGCATTAAAATAATTTTATACCATACATTAAGTTTTTTTAAAAAAAATTGGAAATATGTAATTTCGTATAGTTGTTATATACAGTCAACTCCCCATAACACTGTTGATTATTCCATTTTATATGAATTCCATGTTGTACGAGTCACTTAGATTTTACAAATATGGTGAGCCATTCACAGCCCGGCAAACATATTTGTAAAATCTAAGTGACTTGTACACATGGAATTCATATATAAAACGGAATAATCAACAGTGTTATAGGGGGGTCGACTGTAGTGTTTAGATCTGAGTTATTCTGGTTGGCTGGTCAGAAAATGTGATCTTGACTGTAATTCTGACATTAGTGATGAATAAAATTTCATTTTATCAAAACTGCAATATTTTAAAAATGATATTGAAATTATCAATGTAGATTTTACTGTTTTGAAATTTGTAATTGTAGTAAGTAATATTCTGAATTGTTGAATTAATCTTTAATGTTGTTGTTTTGAATTTCAATCAATCAAAAGTAATCTCTTATTTAAACTTGAACAAAACCATTTGGTGTTTGTCTATATAATAAATAATTGAAAGCTTTCTTAATAAAATTTCTTGAAAAATTTATCTATTAAAATTATATCGCGTAAGTACGAGGGCAATTTTTTAAATAAGGTCTGTTTTTTAATAAAAAGAAAAATTCTGTAAATATTATTAAAATATATTTTTTCCCATATTCTACATACTTTTATCTACTTTTCTACATAATTTCCATTTTTGTTCAAACATTTGTCATACCTCTCAAAAAGTTTTTTTTAATTCTGACTTCAAAGAAATCTGCTGCCTGCCACTGGAAGACATTAGGCCACGTTGCTTGACTTGTATGGCATGGCGGAGTTTTCTCAAGGTCACAATAAGCATCAGAATTGATTGTTGTGCATCTTAGCATAAAATCCACTAACAAAGACCCTTTCCTGTCCCAAAAGACAGTTACCATGCTCTTATGATCTGTTATTCGATTTCAGCACTAATCTTACAGTCGACGGGCAACCCAATTTTTTTACACATTATAAACTTTCACAGTTCAGCACACAGACAGACGATACTGCTGCAAATAACATCTAAACACACGCAAAGCATGCTGAAAGCAGATGCTCATGCACACTGCTGCAATCGTGCGTCATTCTCACTCTCATTCACAAATGGACCTTATTTAAAAAATAGCCCTTGTATAAATAAATTTTGATAGTAAAATTTTTGAAACAAATTAACAACTTTTTTTTATTATTTTTAGATATTGGGAACCTGAATAATTATATTGATAATATTTTGGGAAATTTGAAGAAAGATGAGCTTTTTATCCATCAAATTGATCCATTGATAATACCAGATATTGATGAAGGCAAGTTTAAGACATCACTTGGAGTCATAAGAGGCCTGTCGACTCTTCAGCGGATAGATGATTGTACTCTGTCTTATGAAGGTGATACAGTCAGAGTGGAAGGGTACCTTGGTGTAAGAGATATTTATTTTAATGTAAATTATAAAGCAAAAGCTATATTGTTTTGGATAAAGGGAATCATAGAAGGTAAATGTGACAGTCTTAGTGTAAGAATGAGCTTGATAGCATCACAAGGTAATATGAGATTGGATTCATTTAAAGTCACACATTTCTCAGATTTTAAAGTAACAAGAGCTACTGGTCTGAGTATAATGCTAAATTGGTTGCTAAGATTAATTCTTAATAACATTGCTCATAAATCTAGATCAGTAATTATCAATGTGATGGAAAGTTTTGTCTCTCAGTTTATACAAGAAAATATTTCAAAATTCCAATTTCCCTTGAATGCATTATAAATAATAAACTTATGGTATTGAATCCCCTACATATGCATACGAAATATAAAATGTGTACGTATCATATAATAGATATGATAAATGTTGTGAACTATATTAGTATTGTTGGAAAATATGTTGTAACAAATTTTAATGATCAATTTAATGTAAAAATTATATTTATTAGTCTAAATCAAAAACAAATTTAAAAATATATATCAAGACTAATTTTAAATTAAAGGAAATTTGTCTGAAGACCATAATCTCAGTGCCTCACCCAAAATAGCCTTAAATCAAAACCATGAACATTAATTATTAAAAATGTTTTAATGCAAGAACAAATGTGTGTTCAATTCTATGTATATTGTATAAAATATAGTAAATGTGTTAGAATTATCTGTATGAACTATATTAATCCAACATCTATACAGTGTGGATTAAGCAAAAGATTTTTGTTTCCTTATAAACCTAGTTTATAAGTAGTATTGAAATATGAATGTATTTTTCATTCGAGTCTTTCAGAGAATGGTATAAGAGGATTACATATATTATTATTGTTAAAATAACGATTAAAACTTTTGCAAAATATTATGATAACAACAGATTGTCTAGATAATTGATACATTTATTTGAGATATCTACATACAGTACACATGTGTATATACAGTATATATATTTCAAAATATTAAAATATTTTTTAAATAAAAAAATATTTGTTAAAATACTTTTTTCATCCATTTTGAAGAAGAAATGAGGAAAAATAAAAAAAAATATTTCTGGAATATTTTTATATTTAGTGATTTTTGAATATTTGATCTCATAATGAAAATTTAAGATATTCCATCAATTCCATTGAGCTTTAAACTGCATTTTGTGTTGATTTTAAACCAACAGTTTACATGTGCAAAGCTGATATAAATTTATTCTTAAAAAGTTTTTAACAACAAATGGAACTCTATACATAAATATATAATATTGATGCCAAAAAATTTTTTGGAATGAAATAATCATTCCTTTGCTTGGTCAGTATCATTCCATATCAATAAGATGCAACATTATTATGATTATTGTTAAATTACTTATGCAATATTTTTTAATAATTGTATATAAGTTATCAATTTAAATATTGTTTATAAAATTATTTCTATATTTGTTAATTGTTTAAATTTTATTATTACTATTATTATTTCTTATCATTAAATTCAGATGTAATATATTGTTTTCAAAATGTTGTTAATCATTTTGCTTTTTATAAATGTTTGTTGTTGTAGTATATATAGTGTTAAAGCAATCTATTGTCAAATCCCGTAGCAATGTTATATTATGAAAAAGCGTAACTCTCTGTAAAATCTGTATATTTTTGTTCAAGGCGTTTACGGAAGTATATNTTTTAATAATATGTTATTTTTTTTAGTCTTAAAGTTATTTAAATAATTCTTATGTTTAACATTGATGTTTTTATTTATATATATACAGTATATACCTTTATATGGCAAACATGATTTTCTTAAAACTTTAATTTAGTTTTAATATTACTATGAAACCGAAGGGGGGGAAATATATAAAAATAATTTTCAATCATTATTTTTGCCATATATTTTATTAGACAGTAGTTAATTATTAAAACATGAAATTTTAAATAATTATTGTATCTCAGAATTTGTTTAAGTAATTGCATTTAACTCTTGTGGTTTAAAACAGAATTAAGAATAATTTAAACTAAAACAAATAGAATAATATGCAATTCATTTTCTTTTTCTGTTGTAAATTTTGGAGTTTGAAAATTTCTGCTGATAAAAAGGTAAGAATTAATGGTCAAATTTTCAACTGATGATTGATATTTCTTATAATTAGAAATTAAATAAAATATAATAAAATATTTAAAATATTTTTTATAAAATTCAATTATTATAAATTTATGATACATAAAAGATACAGTATTACTGTTTAAAGAGAATGAGTTTTTTGAAAATTCATTTTTTAAAAGTTAGGATATTATTATTATAAACGCTAACATCTTTAAAGATATTTGAAAAAATTTCAATATTCATTATATTTTTAATTTTATTTAATTAAAAATTTTATTAGATCCACAACGAGATTTATTCTACAGGGTGTATCAGAATGACGTTTTAAAAATTTGTGGGATTGTAGAGGATGAAATTTTGAACGTTCTGATATAAGGAACCCATAGCCGGAAATGTGATATAAAGTTTCTACGGCGGTAGGAAGTGCTTGACCGCCCTTCACTTTCAGGACATTTCAATTTTCAACGCTGACTCAGCGCTGATCTCAACATTCGTTAAAATTCGTTCCTTTTTTCAACGTTGAGGTAGCGCTGTTGTCAGCGCTGACTCAACACACTCAGCACTCAACAGATATGTTGACTCCAATGAATTGTGGGTAATTGGTAAGACATTTGAATGGAATGGAATTATGAGAACTAAGCACTTCGTACTCGAGTTGGAACGTCGATGACGTCAAATTGTTGACTTCAACACTCAACACTCGCGTTGAAAATTGGAATGTCCCGTTTGGTAGCCATCCTTCCGTCCATTGACATGTTATTGTTCTTGACTTTTTCCTCTGGGGTTATGTAAAGTCTCTTGTGTACGCAACACCTGTAGGAACAGTTCATGAGCTTACGGAGCGCATCTTTACAGCATTTAATACAATCAGAGGGGAGTGTGGCATCTTACAGAGAGTTGGACAAAACATGGTCCGTCGTTGTACATTATGTTAACAAAGTTGGTGGTCGTCACATTGAACATTTACTCTACAGTAGTGCAGCCACTGATTCGATGTACAGTTTGATTGAACTCTTGTCAATAAAAGTTGTCACAAATACTGTATTCTGCTGTTTCATTCAGCATACCGAGTGCAAAGTGCTGTAGAAACTTTATATCACATTTCCGGCTATGGGTTCCTTATATCAAAACGTTCAAAATTTCATCCTCTACAATCCCCAAATTTTTAAAACGTCATTCTGATACACCCTGTATAAAAACAATTAAACAAAAAAAGTCTTACAATTTTGAATTACAAATTTTATAAACTTTATTTTCAAATTTTTCATCCTTATGAGAGAAGCCAATGAAAGTTTGTTTCTATACTTAAAAAAGATGAATTTTTAATATGTTCAATACCAGTCTATAATTCTGTTCTTAATAGGGTGGATTGCCATTTCTGTCGGATTGTGCTATTAGTATAGTCGTTAATACAAATAAAGTAATATAATTTTTGAATAAAAATTGTATCTATAGTTATTCCATTGCAACGTCTTGAATGGTATACCTAAATATTGCTAAGTATCAAAAATAAATTCTATCAAGAACTTAATTCAGTGAAGTGTACGTATATTTTTTTTCGTGTCATTCATCGAGCTCGATCTATTTTTCTTAAATTTGGAAATATTGTTTATCCTTATTGTATTTATTCGAATTATATTTGTTGGAATTTTCAGTATATTCATTTAGCATAAAACTAAATAGCAATGCGGTCTATTGGAGTTTTCCCATTTCGTATTTTTTCCTCATTTATATTGTAATAATAGTAAAGCAAAATATAACTTAATACATCCATTTGAATAATTAAGTTTTAAGACCAGTCGTATGATTAAAAATATTTATCAGTGTTCAAGATAGGAAATCAGCTGTAAAAACTAAATTTTTCTTGAATTTCCAGAGTATTTCATCTCTGGATTTCCCGAAGGTTCCTATACTTCACGGGAACAGTGTATATATACATATTATATATATATATATATATATAATAAAATATATTGATAAAGTTTTACTTGAAAGTACTTAATATAATATGTAATTGATTATCTTTCTCTTCATTCATATTAAATTTAATTGAGATTAATAATCGGAAAAAATAGATTAACCTGTCATCCAGAATTGATTGACTATCTATACAATAGTATAATTCTGATATACATGGTTTGCACTTATTAGAACCTATTACTTTTTTATATTTTTAAAATGTTTAGTGTGTAAAAGTGCTATGCCATGTCCAGTTGCTACTTTTATAGAAATTCCAGACGCGCATATTATTTTTATAATTTATTTAGATATACGCTTTACATAATTATATTGTAGGATGAATAAAATGTATAATAAAGTAGCGAGATATTTTTAAAAAACCAATTCTGAATGGGTGTGTCGAAATTTTGAATTCATACATTTTCTAAATTTAGTTTTCGTTATTTGAAGAATAATTTATTCGTCCCATTGAAATGATTGATAAAATTTTCCATTTCCTGATATATGTGTGTGATTATAACTTTTTTTTAAATTCTTTCTGCCCTGTGGGCACTAAGAAAGCCTCATTTTAGTAAGACCATTATGTGTTCGGCCAGGGCCACAATGGGGCGGCCGGTGGTGAGGGACGGGGCCCACCATATCCTTGATTTCATATTTATAATTAATACTACAAGCAGAAAATTAGAATAATTACATAAAGCGTTTCTGAAGCTAACCATAAATCAAAAACAATAAAACAAAAATTTGAAGAAACAGAATAAAGAATTTAGGGAAAAGTTTATCACGTTATTAAAGACATTGCAAAAACAATGAAAAATCATATTGCTGATTTCTACACTGCTGTATGCCTTCCTGGATGTTTTGTTTCATTGATTGATAAACATCACATACTGATTAAATGCCAATGCTTTGATACTTAACGTAATTACGTACAGTCGACCCCCTATAACGTACGTTCCTATAACGACAATTCCTATAACGTAGCGAAAAAATTGTAGCAACTTTCGTATAACGTACCTCCTATAACGTCGTTTCGCGACAAGATTGATAGAGTCTGGACCAATAGTGGATGAGCAGCCGAACTACTTTCCTCCGACCCTGCGCCACGCTACGGAGCGGCTAAATTGAGTTTGCTATCGTCTGTTTAGTATTATATATAAATTATATATAAATTAGGTACTGTACATATAATTATATATTAATTATATATAAATTAGGTACTGTATATATAATTATATATTAACTTAATTTATTGTAACTTTATTATAATTATATATATGCTTTCTGCCGCCTGGCAACACGCTACGGAGATTTTAGGCTAGTAAGTTGAGTTTATTATCGTCTGTACAGTATGTAAATTAGGTACCGTAAGTCTAATACAGCACTAATTTTATACATTTCTTGTGAAAGAAACACTTCTTATTCAACGGCCATAAAAATTATTTATATTAATGATGTCTCCAAAGGTCAAGTTATCTTTCTGCGATAAATTATTTATCAGATATCGCGGCCGCCGTTTCGTGTGCTGTTCCGCGACGAAGACAAGCTTTGAACAACGGGCGTAGTCGAACGGTACACACTCGGTAAGTAATCCTATAATTTTTTGTTTATAGCATAGTTTATACGGATTACTCCCAAAAAATTATACGTGTTTTGGAAATGTTGAGTCGAATTAGTCTAGAATCGGTTAATTTTATAGAAGAAAACCTTTCGAACAGCCTTAGTCCGTAAAGTTCCCACCTATCGGGCTGCGATTGGCTCATGTATTTAATCGTTCCTACAACGTAATTTTCGGTTAGCGTGGAACGTATCTAAGCGTTATAGGGGGGTCTACTGTAATTAAGATATTTCTATTCATTCTTTTCATTATATATATATGAAAAGAAAAAGAACTG